AAAGGAATTATCTGATTCGTCCATATTCAACCAGAAATTTTTTTCAGTGTAGTTTTCGCAATAAGAATTTTTGTATTCAGTACGGGGAGGGGAGTTATTGCAATGAATGCTAAGTGTAGCATTTAAAATAATTTATCAAATTGTTCAGCGATTTTATAACACGTAAATTCACTGACGAAAATGATTCCACCTAATGTAAAACCTGCGTTATGTGTCCGGTATTTAACGGCGCGCAGGACAGGGTGGAAAAAGCCGGTATGTGAATTCACTTAGTAATTCGATTGGCTACCTCCACCTGTGCCGGGTCCTAAATGGCTTTTACGTTTCTAATTGATTTACATCTTTATACTGTTTTTGCGACAAATATTATCATATGCCTCGGCGGTCGAACTGGTGAGACGCCCGCCTAGAGTGTAGGGAGGGTCCAGGCTCAAACCCTGGCCGAGGTAATACTTTTCATCAACAATTATTTGACGCCAGTAAATGACTAACACTGATTAAGCTTCTAATCGACCGTGACTGGCGATGCGTTTTTAATACCGAAAATTTATTGCGAAAAATATTACCTCAGCCAGAGTTTGAACCTGGACCTCCCTACACTCTAGGCCACCGTGGCATATTAGAAGCTTAATAATTGTAATATTTCTCGTAATACATTTTCTGTGTTATTAAAAATGCTTGGTATGGTCAAGAAAGCACTGACGTTGAAAAATAGTAATGTTACATAAATGTCTCGTTGAAAAAATAGCTGATAATAGGACTATTTCGATGGGGAGATAAAGCAATTCGTATGTAATCTTTGCGCGGTAACGCGGCATTTATATGTACAGCGGCATTTACGGGCAAACGCAAGTGGTAAAGGTCGATTTCAATAACCGGCTGCACACGCAATCGCCGCGTGTCACGGTCCGCCGCTTCGTTTTAACTACCGTTTTGAAGCACGCGCTATTACTCGCCGCTATTACTCGTCATCCTCCGAAGAGAATCTTCCTGCAAAGTGGGCAGTCAAAGAGCGGGGCGTGGGTCGCGCGAAAATGTCGAATAAATATGAGATCGCGTTGTCGCGCTGTTCTCGTCGGAGAACAAGCGTTTTGCATTAATTTCCCGGGAAAAAGAAACGCGGTTCCTGGATACCACCTGCACCTTGTCGGGCGCGAGCGACAGAGGAAAGGAGAATGCGTCGGCAGGCAGGGGTTGCGCACACACATGCACACCCGCAGCGACGCACACATGGGGGTTACAGCAGCCTCCGACGTTGATGCCGGCACTCGCCCTCCTCAGACGCGGCGCGCACCGAAAGGAGGAGGACGCGAGAGGGCGAGGTTCGGCAGCAGAGGGAAACGGTAGAGAGAGCGAGGGAAAGACCGAGAGAGGAACAGAGACGGCGAGAGGGAGTGGTTGGAAGTGGGTCCTGTGATTGTTTCGGCTTTGATCTTGGATCAATTTACCGGGTATACGCGCGAATATGCCCGAACCCTCCGACGCGACGCGACGCGACGCTCCGTCTCGAACGCAACCGACCCTGTGAACGTGCACACAGAAGCGACCTCGGAGTCGGCGTATCGCCTACGGTTCACGCTCACGTATGTACATCGGGCACGTACGCGCGTACACCGACCGATTGATGTAGCCGTGAACCTTCGTGAAAACCTTACCCTCGCCAGCCACCCTCAAGGCGCCTCACGGACCGACCGACCAACCGACCGACTGACGTAAACCAGCGACAGCGTCTTACCCCACCCTGTAAAACGATACGCTTGAGATCCCATTGCTGGGGAAGCCATTACCTGACGCTGTCTATCGGAGGAAACGATCTTCGGCGTGAGGACAAACACACATCCTCTTTCCGCCCGGATCTGCCGCCGTGGATTTCTGCGCGAGAGAGTCGGGCGTAGCGAGATGGCAGAATGGCCTGACGACCCGGCATTTTCCACATGGTCTGCCTGGGGACACCAATACTCGAGGGTTTCTTCCCCTTGTCAAAATTGCGAACACCCCCGTTGCGACGATCGCGATCGAGATAACTGACCACGTGTTTGTCGACGTTCTATTTAATCCTCGCATTTTGTACTCGCTTGATAGCGAACAGTTATTTGCCTGAGGTATACGTGGTAAATTATAAAAACTCTTGTTAGGTTGACAGCCCTCGCGCATTAGTTTTCCGCGAAGGAATTTAAACTTTGCTCGACTGTCGAGTTAGAATGTATCGAAAATATCGCAAAGCGAGGTATACGTAAAAGAATAACTTTCCATCCTAATTTTTAAAAGTGTTTTATACTTAAAATCCTCTTTTTCTCGTTAACGCCTCCAACAGCTAAGTTGGCGCTGAGTGCAGTTTACTTTAGAGAAAAAAAGAACCAGCGTCCAGGAGTTTATCTTGTAAACCGCCCGAGGTGACTCACGGTATCTCACGTCGGTAATAATTTTCAGCGGATTAGAAACGTGTAATTATTCAAGATAGTGGCGGAATTACAAAAGTGTGCAGGCGTCGCGCCGGCGCGATTGGATTATCAATTACTTCGTGCATCGTTATATTAGTTAAGCGTGTTATATTAGTTACGCGGGGTTACGTAAAAGCTGATTCTTCGATTTAATTAATTCTCACGGCCGCGGAGTTTTGTTCCGTCGTGCCGGGGCCGCCGCTTTAATCGAGGGAGATGGAAAACCGTATTATTAAATCGGCGGGGTCGAATTAAAAGTGCTTTGGGCATGTCGAGCGTGGTAGTCTGAAAACGAAGCTTTTAGAGCGCCTTCAGCGGGTCGAACGGACGAACCAACCAACGAACGAACGAACGAATGAGTGAACGAACGAACGTGATGTTTGACGAAAGCCTTTCAGTAAATAAATCAAATTGCTGCTCCCGCGCTAGATGAGCTAAAAACGCTCTGCCCGTGGCGCTACACGTTCGATACTACAATTCTGATTCCGTAATGTAAATAGCGGAGTAATATTCATTACTAGATACATGAAAAATTTTGGATAGTCAGCTGACCAAACGTATCTTCTATTATTTTTCTGCCGATCGATAAATAAGTCACGCATCAAACGATTATTCGATTATTCAAGCCGCACAAGTCACGATTTGTGTTTTTCACTCCGGAACTCTAGCACGAGTTGTTAACAACTTAATCGGTTTACTTGCTTCGTACGCGACGTATCTCGCGGAACCGCCGCTATTAATTAATAATCAATTTTTTGCTCAATACGACGCGGTCACGTAATCATTTGACGCAATATTTAATCGGGAACCCGAGTCGAAATTTTAGTCCTATGTTGAACCTTTAATTCTATTATATAGCAGAACCCAAGACAGTAATAGAGGTCGAACTGCAAGTACAAAATTTACTCCTACTTTAAAACTGATAGCGGCGGAAATTTCTACTTTTGCCAATTTAGCATTAAAGTAGGTCCTTTTAAGTAGGAGCTAAAATTAATTTTTTTAATTCAAGGGAGGAGTAAAAAAAAATAATGTCATCAAAGTAGGTTATTGCTGGTCTATGTAGGTGTATAGTAGGTCAGCTAAAGTAGGTAGGTGTAAATTATCCTTAAAAGTGTCAAAATAGTACCGAAATTTCGACTCGGGATTCCAGCCTTTGTCGTTGTTGAAAGACATCTCGAGTCGAAATTGTGGCCCTATGTTGAACCTTTAATTCTATTATATAGTAGGACCCAAGACAGTAAAAAGAGGTTGAACTGCATAAGTTCCAAATTTACTCCTACTTTAAAACTGATAGTGGCGGAAATTTCTACTTTTGCCTTTTTCGCATTAAAGTAGGTCCTTTTAAGTAGGAGCTAAAGTATATCTTGAGAATTGAAGATTCAAAGGAGGAGTCAAAAATATAATGTCATCAAAGTAGATTATTCCTGGTCTATGTAGGTGTATAGATCAGCTAAGTAGGTATAAATTATCCTTACAAGTGTCAAAATAGTACCAAAATTTCGACTCGGGAATTACTTGGAGTTTCGGATTAATCACGTTAGAGAATTACCGTGAGCGAAAAAAAAGTACACAGAACTTGAACTCTTAATCCTAATCTAATTTATATTTATAGCTTCGTTACGCAATGCAGCGAATTCCATTCGCACCTTCGGCGCGTCGGGCGGTCCCCGCCCGGCAATTTCCACCTCGCTCATCACATTTTCATCGGGAAACGAAAAAAAAGCACACGCGAGCGCATATACGCGGGCCGCGGGGGAAAAAGGAGGAAAATATAACCGCGGGGAAAAGCGAGATCGACGAATCGCGATTTCGTCCGCGTTCGGGCTCGCCCGTTGTCCGCGCGAAAACAACGTTCGCCAGACGCGCCGACACAATTCGTCTCTGCAATAATCACAGACCCCGATAAGCCGCGGAATTAGCCGCGGTGTTTGCATTTTCACCGGGCATCCCGCGCTATCCGGGAATTTCGTAAATAATTTCCGAGACCACTGCGGACCAACTCCCCCCCGGAACCAACCCCGGAACGGCGTTACCGTCCATCCAAACTGCCCGCCGCCGCCGTCGCGCACCCCTTTCTCGAATCCAATATATCGCCCGGTAATTTCGCGGCACGGTCGCATCGACGTGTTTCGAACTGGTTTCCCGTCGCGTCTCCTTTTCTCTTTTTTTTTCCCCGCCGTGTCTCCATCCTGTCCCTCCACGCGCCGCTCGTTTCCATCTATGCGTGGGCGCGCGCGCGCGCGCGCGCGTGTGCGTAGGTCCAAATGGAATGGGCGGGGGCCGAAGGCAAAACTCCGGAAAATTGAAATTAATGAATAGTCGCCCCTCCCGTGCGCGCGACGCGTAGCTTTCTCGCGTTTTACGTCGGCTCCCATGAAAATCCGCCTGGCGAACAAAGAGGGCCGCGCGGCGATGGCATAACGACCCCCGGGGGGAGAATTCTTCCCTGCGCGTCCCCGGAGGACCCGCGCGAGGTCTCGTCGGCGTCACCTTACACACGACAAATGCCTTTTTAATGAATCCGCACCTGATGAGGTCTTTTTTTTTCGGAAGTTATGAATTATGCAGGCGCGCGCCCGTGCGCGATCGGGATTTTAAACGACAGCGCGGGCCCCGAGTTGTTAACTGCCAACATATAAATAATCGCATAGTTTAATCATTTCGCATCGAAAGCATTTTCCACTCTTTGTCTTTTGCAATATTGTCCTGGAGAGAGAAACTGTATCCTCCTCGTATCGAGATTATTGCTGTAACTTTAACCTTTGTATTCAGCAGTCAGTAAATTTACGATACTTCTGCATACGTTTGTAATATCCTCTTTAACAGACTTTTTACTTTTGTCGAATTTAACGACGTTTCTTTACATATTATCGATGTTTAGTCGACCGACCCGTGTGAGAAGGCCAGAGCACTCGCAGTATCGAGATCAGCGCTGTACTGCCGTACTCTCGTGCAGGAGGGGACTTTCGGTCGCGTGTTCAAAGGAACCTTAGAGTTAGCCGGACGAGAGCAGGAAGTCATCATAAAGACAGTCACAGGTGAGGCTTCATTTTAAAAAGGATTTGATATCGCTGTTGCACAATCATGTGCAACGTGGCAAGTTCTTCGATTATCGATTCTTCTTATAAATATTGTAGTCTCGAGAGTTGAAATTCTTAATTTGATGAAAGTAATTTAACGTAATAGTTTAATATATTAAATTAAATTTATGAAAAACTGTGGCTATCTCTTAGCTTTCGCGTCTCTGTCGGAAAGATCTATGATTTAAACGATCGATGGATCAACGAGAATATCTGTTTAAGATAAAATAGAAAGTTATTGTATCCACTATCGGTTACTCGTGATTCCCATATTGGATAAAGCAATGTTTAATACTTAAATATAAAGTTATTTAAATAATTACAAGTCAGCTTGTATAACCTTATTTTATTGTTGAAATAATTTATAAAATAATTCTCATTTTAATACATACACAATTTGACGAAACAAAAGAGATAAGTGTACTTTCTTGAAACGATGATTGCAATCATTTATTTAAACAAGATGGTAATTTTTTAATTACAAGTTTGGATTCCGATTATTTTATTTATTTGAATTATCGGACACATTGTCGCTAAAAATAATTTTCCAACGAAACAAATGTTCAATTCCGACGAATGTGTAGTTGCTCCAATTATGCTGTCACTTATACTCGATGATACTGTTTGTTTCAGAGGTGGCATCCGCTTACCAAGCCTCTCTGTTGGTGGTGGAAGGCTCGCAACTGGCTGGATTAGTTCATACAAACATCGCCTCTTTGGCGGCCGCTTGTCTGGACAGTTCGTGCCCCTTATTGGCTTATACAAGTACACCCGGAGAGCTAAACCTGAAGGTCTACCTTACGGATGGAAATCACCATCCGGTGACTAGAGACTTGGTGCACGTCGGTGCCCAAGTCGCTAGAGCTGGGGCGTTTCTTCACGGGCGAGGTCTGCTGCACAGGTAAAGTTGATCTCAAGTATTATCCACGTCTCCATTACAGCGTAAAATCAGTGACGAATAAATTGTGTCTCGTGTCGTCGTAAGCTATCATTTCCCCCCTCTTTGGTACAATCGTAAGAAGTTGAAGTAATTTTCGAACTTAAAATAAAAATAAAGACGACGACTAATTAGTTAATTAATTTCTCAGACAAAATTATCACATTGTGCGAATAAAACTATTTCTCGTAATTAACGATCACATTAAGTCATAGATATGATTAAATTTACTGAATATATAGTAAAATAGTTTATTATTGCGATCTCTTAGATTTACCATTAAATATGGCGTTATTGTCCCTCGCGGCATACGAGATTTGCCTATCGCGGCTATCGCCGAAACATCAGCGATAATTTTCATCTTAAAATCGAAAATTTCTAGGGATATCGCTGCCAGAAACTGCATAATCGAACCGGGCAGCCTTCGCGTGAGACTGGCTGACGCTGCCCTGGCTCGAGATCTCTTCCCACAGGACTATCATTGTCTCGGTGATAACGAGAACCGACCCATACGCTGGATGGCCCTAGAGAGCCTCCAGCGCAACGAATACAGCACGGCGACCGACGTGGTACGATCCCAATTTATATATGCAGATAACTCAAAACTGTGTTGCTTTTCTCGCATCTCGGCAACTGTAAATAAATATAGTAAACACGTCTCTATGGATCAATATGTATATACCAATGCAAATAACGAGACCTTACAATATAAAATATTTTTAAAAACAGTTGTAGATTATTTTACATATTTATTAAAATTTTGTGTACGCATTATATAAATTCACGCTTTAAAATAAAAATGTACAATTCTAGAAAATACGCGTATAAAATCAAAATTGATAACTTTTTATTCGAACTAAAAAGTGCAAGAAAGGTTACGTGTAATTGCATTATATCAGATTATTCTGTGCGAAAACATAATCTTCTAATAAAATATTTTCTTTGCTTTCAAGTGGTCCTTCGGAGTTTTCCTATGGGAACTGGCGACACTGGGTCAACAGCCGTACGTAGAAGTGGACCCGTTCGAGATGATGGCGTGTCTTAGAGACGGATATCGGCTCGCTCAGCCGAGGCCTTGCCCTGATGAGCTCTTCGCCTGTATGGAAGCCTGCTGGCTCAGTCCCTCCAGGGATCGACCAACCATGCCGCAGCTGCTCGCCTATTTGCAAGATTTCCACGACGCGCTGGGCGGTTTCATTTAAATCGTCTGTCCGCAAGTCGACCGCAATCCGATCTGGCATCGTTCGAAGAACCGACAGCGCACCGTCATCCACTCAGTTTTATCGATTGCACAGCTGATTAAATTCGTTTAGAATCGTATCGTAAATTGCGAACGATTGGATAATGAAGGCTGCCCGAAACGCCGAAAGTACGTCCACTAAGTTGGTAATCAAATTGAAAGTTTGGAGGAAGAATAGAATCAAAGTCGCATGGAATTGAACGTCGCTGCCCATTTGAAATACACTGCCCTTATTGATAGGTAGGTTCATCCGTTGCATCTATGATACATACTAATAATTATATTTATTTCAAGTTGATTACATGAATCAAAGTAGGATATTGGCGAAAGAAGTCGCGAGAAAGGCTAAATCGACACGGACACATCCGTCCATAGTAGTTAAAACATATATACATGAATTGCAATCGTTCGCATTTGAGCGATCCATGCAAAAATCCGGTTAATATCGCGCGAGAGAGCCTTATCTTCGATATTACAATATGCGGAAACAAATCTTTTTTTTTAAGTTCTTGGGTGGACAAGGCAGATTTTACAAACTGCCATTTCATAATGAAATAATGAAGAAATTACAGAAATTAAATGCACAATAAAGCCGTCTAGGTGTTTTTTACTTAAGTAAGATTTGTACAATCGAATTAACATTTATTATACAAATTAAAAAATTACTATAATATAAACTCGCAAACACGCAGCCAGTCTCCACTGGCGATATTTCACAAGGCAACTTGCCAAGAATGGAAATTGTTCCTAGTGTACATTCTTCTGTGCAAGGAAATCTCATCTTACTTGGTTAAATTCATTTGAGAATGTATCTTCCAAAGATCTTGTAATTGGCATGCGGCTTTTGCTTGCGCCAGCCTTACAGTCTGGAGTAAAGTGCGCCTGCGGCCTGGCTACTCTTTATCTTCTCGACGCCGTTGTAACTCGGGATTCAGGCGAATGAATGGAAGTGCCGCTCCTCCCATCCGCATTAATTAGCGTCTGTAAACAGATCGCCGTCTTAAATTTTGAATTACTTAATTTAATTAATAAGTGGCAAGCAAAAGGTACGTATTTAGTTCAATGAGGAAGCCTCTTAGCTTCTTCAGCATTTCGCGAGAAACCTGAGAATGAGATGAAGAAAACTAGCAGTCGAAACGAACAAAATTTATAAAATCATTATTAGGAATGCGCTCTGCAAGAGTATACACTTTTTTATTCACATTAATGGGAGACATAAAGGAACGAGAGTAAAACAAAAAGATGGATAAATCTTTTGAACAATCGCTCTGCGGGAGAATCGTAATTGGTATTAAAATTTTATTAAGTGCACAGGTCGAACAGGTCGAAATTATACGTGGGAAATTTGAATATCCTCTAACAACGGGATAATTTGATTATATTCCTGAGAGTATGACAATATTAATATACTAATAAATTATGTAACGAGTTGATATACACGCACATATACGCGCATTCGTTACATAAGACGGCTATAAACGTGCAAGATCGATTAATTAGGTCAGAGTTGGTTTCATTCATTCCGCTTTGCGCCGCTGTCGGACCGGCACGTTTTTCTGTCAAACTGCGCAAGTTTTCCGCTACGAAATTGTCCCTACGTCACTTAAACCGCGCAAGAAAGGCTCACGCGTGCATACGACCCGATCGAGCCGTTCGATCATTATTCATTAACAATCGCGATTGCGTAACCACGAATAATCGTGGCCGGAACGATGGAGAGTGCAAGAGCAAAGCTCCGAACACTTAGGAATCCTATTGTTGTATCCGATATTCGGCGAACACACGCTGTTCCGTAAATGGGCGGTCGAACTATACGTACTTTGTAGTTAGGTACCTATTAGCTACACTGCGAAAAGCCATTTCGAATTCCCGTGGCTCGCGCCCACAAGAATCTTGCAAAATCGATGCTAGATCTTAATGTCAGGTCTCGAGGAAAATGGTCCCGCGCACAAAATTATCTCGATTCCTACCTCGGCGCTCGATCCTTTCGATTGCACCGTCGACTCGTAGTGATCTCTTGTGTTGACAGAGTGCTAAGAGTGTTAAATAACCGAACAATAATGTTCGAAGTAAGAGTGCTTAATGATCGGATTATTCGTCGAAGGAAGATGCGATGGTTCCAGAATATTCTTTTAAACTGTTGTTATTGACATTTGTTTATAGCTAACATTGCGAATGCTGATAAGAAAATTTTGTATACAATGAATATTGATTAAAGCTAGATATTGTATTTAGCAGGTGACATTACTTGTACATTTTGTTCGGTATTCAGTAAAAAATATATATTGTATATATCTATAGTTTATATTTTAAATCGTATTGCTAAATGGAACCCACGTCTCTTCAATCGATCGAGAAATATTCATTGATGTTAAATCGATATTTAACATTTCCCTGCCATTTGAATTTTTGCACTCTGCTATTTTATTGTTTATTGTAAATAAAATTACCACAGATGTCAGCGACGAACACGGTGAAAGGTTTCGCCGTGACATTTCCATCGTAGAAAGACATTACCGAGGGAAATGGAGTTAGAACCTGCTGGCTGACTGCTTCTGTCGGTTAAAAGATATAATTAACATTTACTTTAACGTTAGAAAAAACAATTAGGGTATATATGCATATATATAAATTATTTGATTTTATTTTATTAAGTACTGCGGTGTATCTAGATACTGGTAAAGCTGTACTTCGCGAAGTAGACCTTCTGTTATATCGTTGCTGCGTTCATTAAAACATTATATTACACATTATACGAGTACATAACGTTGACATACCAAAGCGCATTACATCGCATTAGTTCAATTGCGCTTATTCCATATCTTTTCTGTTGCAAGCGCAATTGCGCAAGTAATAGCTAAAGCTGGTAAGGCGTACGAACGAGACGAGGGACTAGAAAACACGTTTATCGATGTATTAAACATGCAATACTGATCTCACAGGATAAAATTAAACTGTACAGGAGAGTCACATTGCGGCGTGTATAACAGGATATCCTAGATTCACCGCCTTTCCTTTTAATGGCAGATCCTTTTATGGCAAGATCAAAGAATGTCGATTAACATCGAACGTTAAATATTCATTTCTTTTTACTCTCTAAGAGTCAATCAGTGGATTATCACTGAAAACAGTGAACAGTCAGTGATGCACAGTTGTGAGTATACCACTGCGACTTTTAGTGGTATACTTTTAACTGCAAATCAGTGACTATTCACTGTTTTCAGTGATAATACACTGATTGACTTTTAGAGAGTAATATTTAATATTTTCACCACTAAATTCTGAATTTTTCGTAAACAAATCTCGAAACTGACCGTGTCTGAGGGTTTACCTGTTTACATGTTTGGAATTTATAGTTCCATTAAAAGGAAAGATAACAGGTACTTGACAGTACTCTTTTATGTTATAATAAAATTCCCAAACATGCGTTAAAAGTGGAAGCAAAAATATTTAACTTTCTCCGTGAAATTATTTGTTGAGGGAAAATGTGACGGTTCAGGAATATCTTTCTAAATCTGCAGACGTTTCATTCGCATTCATTAAGGCAAATTGTTCATTCGTGTTCGTTCGCATTCGTTTCCTTGGTCTGGATTCGATTTTGGGCGAGTAACAGGTGCAAATCGAACAAGCGAGGATTATATTATACATTTGCGGCGCGAGGCATACATAAAATACTTTTAAATGTACTCGATGTATAAATGTCGCATGTTCCTGACCACGACCAGAAACTTTATCGCACTCGTCCTTTCACTCATCGTTTCCTGCCTCTTCCCCTAATCTGCTCTGTCGAATTATCGCGCGAACGTTATGAGAGCTCGACTCACGATTGATCTCGTACCGCTGTCAGGTGCATCTACTAATTATTGATATTGCTATTTAATAACTATCGCTCGCTACTATTTATCGCGACGCTCTAAAGTCGCGCGTTTAAAGAAATCGTCGGATTCTATGATGTATTCGTGAATGTCTTTGAATGGAGGAACAGGGTAGGCTGTAACTGCACACTTTTTCGCTATCGCTGTATAATGGAATCGCTGCTCGTTTCCGCGCGAACATACGTACGTATACATATATTCTCTTTTCCTATAATCAACTCTTCCTCCCCTGTTGAGAAAGAAAATCCGGTGGCGCTGGGAATCCCGGTCATTTCCACTTCGATATCATTCCCTCGCCTTCAGGAATAAAAACCCCTCTTCGGACGACAGTTCCAGTCATTGTAAATATTTGTAGCGAATAACAGCGGTGCGCCGCGCGTGAAAGAGAGGAAATGAAAGAGAGAAAGGTAGAAAGACAGGAAGAGTGAAAGAGAAAGAGAGAGAGCGAGAGAGTGAGAGAGTGAGAGAGAAAGAAAGAGTTGATTTGTGCAGATTCTATTATTTCCTACGACGATTTACGGCATTATTTTTCAACGGAAAGTGAAATATACGTGTTAAAAAAAAAATACTGGCCCTTTACGATGTCCCATGTTTTCCCTCTTCGTTTTTTAGTTTGACGACACTTTCTGAAAGAATTAAGTAGGATGGGGAAAAATAACATTATAAATCACACTTTATGTCATAATTTATTTAATTATATTAATTATTTAATTATACAAACTTCCTAATTATAATCAAAAGAATTATATATACATATAATTTAGCTAACAATACGATCAGTATAAGAAAATAGTTCCTTCTTTATAATATACAAATAGCTTGTTATTCTTAAAACGATTTAAGAAATAACGGGAAAAAGCTTATCGAGGGTATTAAGATCTGGGACTGATGTAAAAAGTTTTCGTTTTTAACAATTCATTTTAATTCCCGTTTTATAATGATTTGTTAATACATTTGCTAACAAAACTAATAGTGCTGAATATATGCCGAGGTGCAACTATTAGATTGCTGTCTAATGTAAAGAAAAAGAAAGGCGCGAAATAAGGAAAGGGCGCGTCGAGCATGCCTCGCGTTTCGCGTGGTACCACATAACGCGAAGGTACCAATACGGAACGGAGGCAGCGAGAGAGGTGAGAGAGGTAGGAAACCCTTTCTAAAATCGCGACCGCAGGCGGATCGAGGGTCCGGTGAACGCGGCACGGGGGCACACTCGGGGCACGGCGGAGGGGCACGCACTATTTCTTAATCCAAGCGAGAGAGAAACGGGAGAGTCGACCAGCCGACCAACGAAAATGAAAGTGACGGAGAAAGTCAGGGCATTGTTACGAAGCGTAAAGCCCGCGGTGCGACGTTATGCCACGGCTCACGGATCGCGGGATTTCGATCCGCGTGGGCTCTCGCACGACAAACTGGTATCCGCATACGTGCTATTCCGCCAAAACGTTGATAATTTCTTTGCAAGTTTCCTCGTTTCTCTCGAAAATTCGGTAGAAAGTGATACGATCTTTTCAATTAGGATCGTTATCTTAGCGACTAAATCACAAATTTATCATGTAAAATTTATAAAATGAAAAACCGGGCCCGACTCTCCCACACTTTTACCGAGAGAAATACGTTTGTTTTCGAGGAACTTGTCTCTCTTACTTTGCACTGTTATAATCGTGACAGAATGACTTTTGGTCATTCTGTTTTTGCAGGCGGGAAAAAGAAAGAAGTAGATGAAGTCTGAGCAAATGTCGAATGCCTGCGTGCGTCGCGTGTATTTATATTTCTTAAATGTTAACATATTCCTTTCTCTTTTTTTTCAAATATGCAATATACGGACAGTTCGGACAAATAAAATAGCGGATTCGACGCGGGCCCGTAAAAGATTTATACCATTATTTCCAGCCACGTAGGAGTATGCCAGCGTTTATTTCTGGGATTTCTGGGTCATCACGTCGGTTTGTTCAGTATTCTCGTTGCATTATCTATCGCGAGCAAACGTCTGAAGGGCCTCCTCGGTTGCGCAATTTTCGAGTGGGAGTTCCACACATGGCGGGTATATTAAGTACACCGTGCTTTCTCTCTGTCAAAACAGACGCCCGTTTCTCGTTTGATCGCGC